CGCTTTCGCCTCGCATGATGGTTATCGACGCAGCGACCCATAGCATAGAAGCAAGACAGCTCAGCCACAGTAAGCTAGTGGAAGACGGGTCATCCCAGAAAGCATCGTACTCTCGTTGGAATTTCGTAGTATGGATGTAAGGGGCAGTCATAAACTTGTGGCGGAAGTAAACCAAGATGAGCGCATCTGTCCTGGACTTGGGTGGCAATCGTGTAATGGCCTGCGAGAGAGTTATGGGTACTAACTTGCCAAAGAGAACATCCGTACTATCCGAGGTATCCTTCTGCGGTGGGGGCGAGGGAGTAGGAGGCTCATCCGTCTCAGTTCGAAGAATGCCTTGGATGTCATGAATGCTCTCAAGAATTGAAGCCCAGTGAGTTGCGCCGACATAACTGTGCTCGCCGAGCGTAGTAGGGAGAAGCGGACCTCCCGATCCGGACGCCGCCATGCTCGGTGGTGAGCTCAGGTCAGAGCGGGTCTCAGTGGTCTCCGTTCGCTGGTCCGAACTTGAAGGTGTATCGAGAGTAGGCTCTCGGTTGCGCGTAGTATAAACCAGGCTATTGACCATTTCCTCAAGCTTCTGGAGACGGACCTGCAGGACGGGGCGAGACATAGGCTCATGTCTAGCCCGGACATCCGCCTGCGGCCGCGAATCCGTGCGAGCCTTGCGAGAGGCACGAGGCGCATATTCGCAAAAATTGGCCTCGCCACTTTTGACGCACCTCTCACAGGGCTGTTGGCGATCACATTTCACCCTAACAGAGGATGATGAGCTATAATAGGCACACGGGGGACAGGGTAGTGCCACTCACTTGCGTGTCCGGCATAGTAGACAAGATACAGGAGGACGGTTGCGCTTTTGGATCTTTCGTTGGACTCCCTCGGTCGGCTGCGCTCGAAAGACACTTGTCTGGTAGCTGCCGGGCCGAGAGTCCATCGTGCCCGGGGTAAGACTACACGACCAGTCAATAATATGAAAGTCGGATTGAAACGGTCGGAAATAAAGCCCAGCTCACGGCCTCAGCGAAGTCAAAAACAGTGTAAAAGGAATACTCCCCCCTCCGCGTGGTTGCTCAGGTGAGGACTTAAGAGAATGCCTGATTGAGAAGAAGTCCGGTAGTACGGCGGGAAAAGAAGAAAAAGAAAAAAGCTACTGGCAAATACCTTCAAATGGCTCTGGATGCTGAACTAATGAAACCTTCCTTGGAGTTTCCCCGGTGCAGATGCAGACGGTTATCGGAAACAAGGGAGGAAATGCACCTGGAAACTCCGCTGTGACTATTCCTAAACAGGCAAACTCCCAGCAATATCTTGGCATTGCCCCATTAGCACTTGCGACCGACGGAATATCCCCGGCTGGATTTAAAGATAGCTCCTTACTCTTTTCTACTCGCAAATACGGCCAAAACGGCCAAAACGGCCAAAACGCCGACCCGTCTCTAGCCCTTTGCTTTTCTTTCGGGAGTTATTTTTAAACCTAAACTCCTAAACCTCCTAAAGTTCGAGAAAGCTACGGCCATAAAATTTCAAATCCTTACTACTGTCCGCTTAAACCCACACCTACTTACGTTTTGTCCGGTGCGCCACTCATTAACCGATGATTTCAAATTGCTACTCTACCAATTTTTCTGCCATGGCCACTACACTCCGAGTGGCTACGGATTCAATATACAGGTACATAGATACTTCATACTTCGCAGATTAGCGGTCCAAAATACGCTCTAGTAATTTTCCTAATGGGGTATCTCTTACCTCCCCCCCCAAGACGCCACGCCATCGACTGATCTTTGGCGATGGGATGCAAACGCGACTACCTCATTTCGTTCAACGGTCTCGAAATATGTGATCTCCACGGTAACCCAAAACAACTATCATCGATCATCACTTAAGAGAGAAATTCGAGAACGGCGATCTTGCTTCGCATCGAACCAGATGCTGCGAGATCGAGATCTAATCTCTCATCTCGAGGTTGTCTAGCTCCACTTACCGCCAGCATCATCCTTCCTTTTCTATATCTTCCCTCGACAGTGGGGTCGAGACCCAGGCCGAGTTGCAAGATGCTAGACCTAGAAGCCGCGGTAGTTCAAACGCCTTCCCGGTAGTATTCATTCCGACTATGCTTCACCCGACAGCCCAATCCGAATTTGCCGGTCCGGCATCTCCGGTAATAATACTATTGGCCCGAAAAACCTCAACCGGCGTGCAGGTAACATGACGTACACAGCCTTGACAACCGTTTCCATGACCCAAACGAGTCCGGCGCTGATTTTTCCACCAATGTTGAATAGGTACCTACCTATATAACTCCGGTATGTAGGTACTTAGTAGAGACTTGATGATTCGAGACCAGTTAGGACTTTTATAATGTTAAAGCTTACTCGAATACCTACAATACTGGCCTCATGTGCTTGAACTAAGTACCTACCTAGGTAGGCAGCTATTAGGAAAGTAATAGTAGTGTTCGTCTGCTCTTTAGTCCCTGTAGAATACGCAAAACTACAACTTACCATAGGCTCGTCAGTCGCTTCACTCTACTATACTTACCATTTAATATCCTCGCTGTGATTTGACAATATCACTAGCCTCTCACTAACTATATTCCATATGATATTCATTATTCATATTATAATCAACATTTTTACGTAGGTAGCTATTATTTGTTCTTACAAGGGACCAGGCCGATAGTACACTTAAATAGGTGGATGGATACCTCAAAGTTTAACATGGTCAACTAAATCTCCTACAGTGCCGTCTCTGTACTGGATGTGAGGTATTTGTTATTCGATACTACCTAATACACGTACTTCAACTCACTCCGCTAGACCTAAGAGGAATGAAATTGTTATAATACGGACGGGGGGCGCTAAGTAAGCTCCACTCCGCCGATTAGGGCACGCTACCTCTTCAACCAGCACAGTAAGTATAAAGCTTTGGATACTAGAATCTTCAATGTGAATCGGATCTTTTCGAGGTTTCTGATTCTCAAGTTGTTTGGGGCTTGTGGTTTAGTGGTATAATACTCCCTTAGCATGGGAGTGGTCCGGGGTTCGATTCCCCGCGAGTCCAACATATAGGGGTTAGATTCCCCATATACCGCATATTTTTGAATGCTCTGATTATTTCTCCTTTTTGTTGGTAAGTTAGCTCAACCGTTCCGGGCTCATACTGAGCCGCCGTATCTCAACTACATCGGAGGCTAGGCTTCATATATTTAATATTACTTCCCATCTTTTATGCCCTGTGGAGGCATTAAATAGGCTATATATTAAGCCTGCACAGACGAAATTAAAGTAGAATCACAGAAGTTTAATTGAGATTCTGCACATTTTTAAATCCTGATGTCGTGTATCCGAACACCGCTCTCTTCATCGCTACTGTTAAGAGAATCTATGGATCTGTTAATTATAGCGTGTACTTTGGACGCAAACAAATACCTGAGACGGGCCAATCAACGTTAATCTATAGAGTCTAGATTCGGTATACCTAGCAAACATCTCTCATATCTCATTGGGTTAACCCCCATTCTATCTACGTATCATCTATATTTAAAAAGCGAACTCGAGGAAAGCGACATACGGCGTGTCATGTTATCGGGGCTACATATACATACAGCTACTGGGTAGATAGCTTCGGGGAACAACACCGGACCACCCCGTAGGAAGCGGGGAAATATTCCGGACCCATCCGCAACCCGAACCAGTCATTCTAAGATAGCTGCCGATGCACTTATATAAATTACTTAGGGTAACCAGGTAAACAACTCACCGAGATCTCTCACTAAGCATTTATAGCAGCACCACTAGGCATCATGTCTCCCGGTAAGCCAATTTCGATCTCCATCCAACCCCTTAACTACGCCGACATCCCCGCCTGCGCCCGCATTACTTCATCGGCTTTCTCCGTCGATCCCCACACCACCGTAAAGCAATTAGGTCAGAAGCCTTTCGATATGTACGACATCTCTCGTTCCGGATTTCTAGATACTCTCGACAGGAAAACATACATCTACGTCAAGGCCGTGGATGGCGAAACAGGCGAAATTGTTGGGCACGCCGGGTGGGCATTTAGAGGTCTAGATCCGGCACTGGTTCCGTGGAATGGACCCGGAGACGCAAAGCCGGAGGGGGGAGAACGAGAGCGGCGACAAACAGGGGATGATGAATCGGAAAATAAGAATGAGAAGGAGGATGCGGAAGGAAAGGAGAGTTCTATCGATCGCCTTCACGCCCTCGAAGATGCTGACATGCGATTCTGGCTATCCGACCTGGTCCCCTCGGACATACCTTGCGTATTCGTTGTTGGTCTTACCGTATCACCTTCGCATCAATCCCGAGGTGTGGGTAGTGCCCTGATGCGATACGGGAATGTCATCGCTGACGATTTGGGTCTCTCTATATGGGTACACTCATCCCATCAGGCGTACGAAGCGTATAAGAAATCCGGGTTTGAGACCATGAGAGAGTTAAAGATAGACTTGGACGAGTATGCGCCAAGGGGACCGGTCGAGGGAGAAGAAGTAATGGGAGAGAAGGGGAGCGGGAGGTGGGGGAGGTATATTATTAGGTACATGAGGAGGATACCAAAGAAGTTGAATGATTTAAATAGTTAGGTAGGTACATAGTTAGGTGAATCTACGAAGTATCAATCCTCATTTCAAACTAAACCTTGGTGTGTATAGTTATAGCGTATTAATACTTATTTTCTGATTTACTCCCCCAATGCACCAATGAAATACCTCAAATCGACACTCCACTTTCCCATTATGTCCTCAAATGCGAGGGAAACACGGTGGAGTACGTAAACAGGACCATAATTCTTACATATAAGAACTTATAATTACGATGGGTTAGTGTTTACCTCTTAGACGACATCTTGGGGGCTAGGTTAGTGTTCTACCGAGGTAGTGTATGATGAGCCTTTGAATCATTATACCCACATCGTGCCCGCTCTCCACAGTAGAAGAAAATATAGTGCGCAACAAACAGAAACTTTGCACATTCGGGTTCGTGGCCTAATGGTAAGGCGTTAGATTTCGGTCTTATTTCCGGTCCTCTAAAGATTGCAGGTTCGATCCCTGCCGAGCTCGGCTCAATAATTTTTGTTGCTTTCCTTTTCTTCTGGAACCTGCACGGGATTCCATTCTTTTCCCACTTCGTTTAATGGAACACACCTTGTGATGATGAGTGGTGATATGTAGATAAATCTTGGTGTTGACATAAGTTTCAATCTTAATGGGAAAATAACAAAATTAACTTTTTTTTTATTAATAAGGTTATATTAAAAATGTTATATGATATGTATTTTAATGACGAGATTACAAAACTTATTCCATTGCGATGTAGATTTCATCTAGATCGCGCTGTTTGCCCTTGAAATTGAATACCATTAGTATGTACTTGCACCCGGGTCGCTATCCAAAGCATCCGAGAACGAGTGGTGAAACGAGAGTGATATGGGGTAATACTCGTATGGATATAACATGGGTTTAGAGATGATCCAGCATCTCATGCATAAATGCGACTTCATTCCAGTTTATAATCTGTCATCATAGACGTTCTCCTATCACTCCATTACAAGTAATCAATCATACATATAAGATAAGGGCACTGCCAAACGTGATACGATGATGACTCCTGTACCAGCAAGCCCCACGGCCACTCTTCGCGGAGGTCTAAGGGAGGTCCTCCGTAGTCGTCAGGAGGCTAGGAATCGCAAAAGCTGTGAACCATGTCGAGAAAGGAAAGTAAGGTGCGATAGGGGGTATCCATGCGCGACGTGCAGCAGACGAGGTTATCCGGATCTGTGCGCCTACCGTGAATACCGCCCACGACGCCACAGCACGGAACGCGAGCTGGAAACGGCACAACTCCCTCCGGCCGATGGACTTTCTAGTGTACCTTCACCACACGTACAACTCGTCACGGATACAAATAGCCACCATCTTGGATTCACTGGCAATGAAAGTTTAGCTGACCCTCATCTCCCACAAGCAACCTCACTTGCTACAGTTACTCAGGAGTCCTCTTTATATCTCACCGATCGTCTAGATGATCGTTCAGCATTCGAGACGGGCGTCCTACCTCTCTTGGGCATGAATGAGGAGCATATAAGTACTGATCTGCCCATTGCGCCTTTTGGTGGTTTCCTCAACGACTTCCTGTCTGTTGAACAAGACGTTTACGCCTTGTTCCAATCTTATAAAAGTCGCGTCCACCCCTTTAACACAATCCCCATCGACCTCGACCAGTTGGAGAAGCGGCTGTGCGCCATCATCGAGTTGAGGCATAATCCAGGGGCTGAAGTGGGACTAGAGGTGGACAGAGTCCCTCGATGGCTTTGCTTATTACATGCTGTGTTGGCATCTGGAGCGCAGTTCTCTGAATTCCCCCTAAAACGGCGGTCTTTTTTATCGCGGGAACATAGTAGGCACAGGTAGAGGCGACGTTCTATATTCAGTATGCTAACGTTAACAAGCAAAACTCTCATTCGAGCTACTCAGGAGGGCCGATTACCTTGCTCAGCCCTCTAAAGAGGCAATTCAGACACTCTTACTATTAGGTAATATACTCCAAGATGAAATCAAACCCCAAGCAGCGTGGGCTCTTGTCGGTACAACGATACGGCTTGCACAGAGTCTATCTGTTCATATACGGCAATCTAGATCTACTTTATCAACCGTAACCCCGGAAGATGCGATGCTTTTGCGGTACGTATTAACCTGTTCCCAGCCTAATACCTGTTTAAGTCATTGACCAGACTAGACTTGCCATTGTGCGGCAGGAAGCACTGCTCTCTATGGCTCTTGGGCACTATCCATCGTGTAGCGATATGAGTTTTGAGGAAGATCTGCCTATTCTTATCCCTGGCAGCGATGGTGAAGGCTTGACGTACCGACAAGCTATGAGCTGGCTTTGCCATCTTGGAATAAAGCATCTAGAGTCTCGGAAAAGCACGACACCACCTGCCCCACTGCTTACTTTGAACAAGATTGACCGTATTGACCTATCTGTATCTCCACATCTGAAAACCCGACGTCTCTGTAGCTCTACACAGGATGTCGAGGAGTGTTACGCCTTTACCATACATAAGAATTTTGTTATTTCAGTAATCTGCCGCTCGTTGCTCTCTGATGGTTCGAGTGCTGGGATTAGCGACGTCGACAGCCGACGTGTGCTGGAACGCCTCCAAACTTCTCTAAAGCGCAGTAGCTGGGCCTACATAAGCATACGGACTATTAGCCCTCTCGCTAGACGATCGTGGGCATTCATCCACAATGGACTGACATCCGTACTCCTGTTAAGCTTGATGAAGGAAACTAGGCACAGTGAAGAGACCAGATTGCTCCAAGACAAATTGATTACTAGCCTTCAGCTAGAAAAGAAGGACTACTGTTTGGACTCTGGCTCAGCAGGGGCTAGCCTGCTGTCAGGTTCATTAAATAAGGCACTAGGAGCTCTGGAAACCATGAGAATATTAGCAGAACAGGAAACGGCATCGCAAACTCCGTGGGAAGAACTCCTAAATACTCAGACACAAGGTAGTTCTATACGAGCGGATGAAGCAAGATTTCCGGTTGAACCGGATAGTTTCACTGGCCAGCTTGAGTAAGATTGGCCTTCTGATCTTCTTATTAACTACCTAGGTACCCAGCTAACATGGCTATAGGTTATGGAATATGGCCGAGTGGCTGGTCTCCTTCGATTCTGGGGTTACGTCTTTAGGTGTCTGACTTCACTGTGCCAGAACCTGTGCCCTTCCTTGAATAGAGATGTCAAATACATAGAATTATAGTCAAACTCGGGGGAAACCTGCCGATATGTATAAATGTAATGTATCTATTTGCTATTCTACATAAGAAACCCAAGCAAGCTCCCACGTTTATAAATGATAGTGCCCCGTAACTCACACAACGAGGATGTCAACAGGGTTAGATATAGTAGACACCCATGTGCCCAACCCCTTCTAATTATACCCTAGAGTCTTCCACTCAGCCAGCACCTTCTCCTGCAGTTCCTTCGGATACGAGCCTTTAAAGCTAGACTCATCCCAAGTCTTGCCCGTGGTATACTCCGCCGCCAGCAAAGCATCCGACACGACCTTCCCGCCCTTCCACGGGTCGCCGCTCCCATGGCCCATATACGGGACCACCGGGTAACCGAGGACCTCCTCGTATAGATACTCGTCGAGGCCAGGACGGCATCGGGTACTAAAAGCCCACGAGACGTCTTTGAAGTCGTAAATGTCGATGTCGTCGCCTACGAGGATTAGCCGGTGGATCATGAAGCCGCATTTGGCGGTGAAGACTATGTCGCCTATCTTGCGCGAGAATTCCTCTGACGTGGTCTTTAGCGCGCGCAGTTTCTCGGTGTCGATTCGTAGTATTACCCAGACCACTTGCGACTCAAGCGGGCACCATGCTTCCTTTATGGGGAGCCCTTCGGACTTGAGGAGGAATCCGATCTCGGCTGCTGCGAGTGGGCCGATCATGGTATGCTGTGAGATTTGTTAGTATATATATGGCTTTGTATTGGAAGTTGGCATGGCATACGGTCTCATCAGTTAATCTCCCCGGGTTAGAAATTGGCAAGATGGCGTCCTTGCGGTGCGTGATCATGTTGATGGTGTACTTAGGCCACTTCTGTACTTCTTCACGGAAGAGATACCTTTTGGGTAGTTAATTTGGTTTAGTATTATTCGCTACTTTGAAAAAATGAGGATAAATACCCTAACTTACCCATACATCTCACCGAAGGGGCCTTCAGGTGCCACCTCTGTGGTCGAAATAGTCCCCTCGAATACGATTTCGGAGTTTGCCGGGACATAAAGGTCGTTGGTCTCACACTTGACGACTTCCACGGGGGCACCAACGAGTGAGCCGACGTACTCGGCCTCGGATACGCCATCCGGTAGGGGCGTACTTGCGGCCATGATGGCGGCGGGCGGAACACCGAACGCAATTGCTACAGGCATATCTTTCCCTAGCTTCCGCCACATGGCGAGGATCTTTCCAATGTGCTGGGCTGGTAATACGGCTCCAGATAGGTGGCTCCTATCGTGTACCACTATAGTTACAGGAGTTAGCGATTATATATCATCGAATAGAACTCTCAATGGTATATACTAACTAGCTCGTGCGATGGCCCAATTAGTCCAATTACCGTCTGGAGACTGGAAACACTGCATGCCGTACGTCTGGACATACTTCCCGCCATCGGACTGGTGCAGCAAGGGGCACGGCAGCGTTTCTAGGTTGAATTGGTCGACCGTAAGGCGAAACTCCTTGCAGGGACCCGACTTAACAATCTTTGGAGGGATAGGCGCGGTGCTCTTGGCCGCGATGACTTTGTCCATTATCTGCTTGGGCGATGCTGCAGGGTCCAAGCCAATGTGTCTAGCAACGCGGCCAAACACTTTCCCAGGATGCGGGCTGAGTCCATTCACGGCTCCTAGGATGCGCCAGAGACCGTTCTCGTTCTGGCCCTTGAGTTTATTAAATAAGGGGGCCCGCTCTTGGTCTTCGAGGGCCTTTCGGGTGATGGCGCCGACCTCGAGGTGCGGATCGCACTCCGTGTTGATTTCGACGATATCACCATCGTCTTTGAGCGCCTGGACATACGACCGGAAGCTCATGTGAGGAAGTTCCTGCTGGTTGATAATCATTGTCGGAGTAGAGGAGGTCATTTTCTCTTCTGATACTGAGCGGAATACTGAAAGTTGCTTAGACTCTGATAAAAGGGGATCTATGTTGATGGTTTTGACTGATATACCATTGAGAATCAGGGCTTCGCTAGCATAATTTATATTCACCTGGAATAAGGCCCTCGCGTTGATAATGTCATGTCTCTAGGGTCCAGCCCCCTAGTCCGAGACCCCCGAAGCCCCCGAGCCATACCGAGTCTGACGATCCGAGCTGGCTTGTGGGGCTAGGGTAAATGAAACATGGTGAGATATACCAGTGCACTTCAGTCAGCAGAGAAGAGCAGATTTCTTACTCCGTGTTGCTCGCAATATCTCTTGAACTGGGTATGACCTGCCCGTTCTCACAGGCCCCGAACCCTACCGAAGCGCTCCGTTGGCTAAGATAGG